GTCTTAATGGAGGTATGGAAATCCTTTTTTCTTAAAAAAAAAAAAAAACTTTTTATTTTGATATTTAATCATAGGTGCCGCTTCTTATGTATTAACAAATGATAAATCATTTTCTTATACAGATATTGATTTTATATTTCGTTGTGATTTATCATCAGAATCAACATGGACACAAATAAAAACAATTGTATGTGAATGTTTATCACAACAAATTCTATCATCATCTTGTCAATCATCATTTTCACCAATTATAATTCAAGCTGCCTATGTAGAAAAAATAGCACGTATTATTAATCCATCAAATAATGATTCATGGGCATTAATATCTTTATATAATATAAATGGACAAAATATTGAATTAAAATTTGTTGATCGTATGAAAAGACAATTTCAATTTAGTGTTGATTCATTTCAAATTTTAATTGATCCATTACTTGATTATTATGAACATAGTTTAAAATATCAACAAAAATCTAATAAAAAACAACAATATTATAATCATGGTAAGCATCAGCTTGTTATGAGAGAAAAACGAAAAAAAAGAAAAACAAAATAATAACAACAGCTGTATTCCTATTTTCAATTGAAGAAGAGAAAAAGAAATGGTTTTCTATTGCAATTCTATTTCAAAAAAATAAAATGGAAAGAATAGCATATTATTAATAAAAAAAATGAGAAAAAATATCAATTATAAAATAAATATAACTTCTACTAGGCCCCTTAGATCTTAGCAATATTATCTAGATCATTGCTTTTTTTTTTGTCTGAATAACAAATTCGACTAATTGAATTCTTATATGAATTGTAAAATAATAATATATAATCCCGAAAAATCAAAAAAAAAAGAAAAAGAAGATTATTTCTTTTTTTCTTTTGTTCTTTAGAATATCGTTCATCAAAAAATAATCGTTATTTATATCGATGTCCAAATATATCAGTTGAATGTTTATATGGAAGTTTTGATGCTGCTTTAACACATCTTAATCGTCGTCAAATAGTTACAACATCACCTGAAGGTATACATGGTGGTGGTTTACTTAAATATTGTCTTTTATTAACACGTGGTTATCGTCCATATGATAATGGTATATCATCATGGCAACTTGAAAAATTAATGTGTTCAAGATTTTTTATTGATTTTGCTGATATAAATGAACAAGAATATAAATTATTATCATATTTATCATCACATTTTTCTAATGATGATTCAGCTAAATATCGTTATTTATTACAATTAAGTACAATTATTGAACGTAGTACAGTTTGTTTAATGGCACATGAACGTAATTTAACATTAACATTAATATCACAATTAGCAACTGAATATTATTATCGTTTATATGATGAGTATAATACATATCAGATAACAACAGCTGAAGTAACTGTACCAAATTCGATAACAATTGATGTTATTTATCATAATGAATTAGATGAATGGAAATCTTTATATACTCCATTAAAACCACAATCACAATTACAACAAGAAGAAAATTAAAATAACAAAATTTAAAAACAAAAAAAAGGCTTTCAATATTGATTACATATGATCATTCCGCCCTGCGAATAGGTCGTCCAGATCGTTTAGCCAAAAAAAAAATGGAATTTATCGGATCTTCTGTTGTGATTGATCGATTCAAAAAAAAAAAAATTTATATATAAACTTCTATATTATTTATTTATATGTATGTGTATATGTGTATGTATTCTTATTAATTATTTTTTGTATTATTGTCCAACAATAATACTAAAATTGGAAGAAAAAAAACCTTAGTTATTATATCCATTCTAATACAGTCTATTTTTCTGTTGTTATCGTTTGTTTTCTGTTGTTTCTCGATGGTGCGTTTATGAATATATACTTATTTTTGACAAATATAAATAAAAAAATACAATAGACAGATAACTAATGTAACTGAAAATAATTTCTTCTTTTTTTTTTTTCTTTAAAAATAACTGGTTTTTATTGTATTGAACACAATAGCATAGATAGTATGTGAAATCTTGGCAAACAAAAAATAATGAAAGAAAGCTTTGTGTATATAATTATTGCTGTCCTTCAAAATGAAGCAATAGGCATGTTTATTATTGATTATATATTCACAGTGAGCACTAAAATTATTCAACAAGGTCTGTTTTCAAGTTGTTTTTTTTCCCTCTGACTCAAGCATAAGAAAGAATTACAATAGTGATTCCAGTAGAGAAAATTGTTGTCAACAACAATATAAGGAAATAAAAGTTATTATTAGATTGTTTAAAATAAAACCTTCAGAAAATCTGAACCCTAGTTTTCTAGTATCTTTAGCATGTAAATATAATTTTGTATAAACAATATAGAATGATAGAACTAAGAATTCTTTAGAAAATGAAACATCTTCGAGTTTTTTACGATCTTTTTTTTCTTTAATATTTCCTATAAAAATAGCTGTGAACACAATCGCCTGGGGGATTAAAATGTAAAACACAATGTAGCTACTTTTGCTAATCATAAAGAGATTGTTTTATTGTATCTATTTTGAGACATGTTTCTTCGCCATGCTTTTACCTAATCCTCCAGAAATAAAATAAAGGAAGTAGTTCATTTAGTATTACGAGACATTTTTGATATGTAATCTGTAGTATGGAGAGAGGAGAATGTTGCTAAACTGTTTGTCATGGTCTGTGAAGGGAGGAGAAAGAGGAGCAGAGGTCCGAATTTTCACTTCTATACTTCAACATTCTTTTTAGATCATGTTGACAAAACTATTTTTGGACGTTTCTCACTTTGAAAAGAACTGTTTGCTCTATCATTTTATGCAGTCTAAACATAATTAAATTTACGCATTATAAATGGTGAAAACATAATATTTATGTTATCTGGAGCCTCTCACTTTAAGAATCTAAAAATAACTTTTACTTCTTTATATTCTTCTTGGAAACAATTTTTTTTTTGCTATTCTTATCACTATTTGGATTCTTTTTAACGATCAAGCTAGCGGAAAAAAAATGCAAATAAACCTTGTTGAATAATGTTGGTATGCATTGTATATGAGTGAATTGCAACTTTTTGGTATGATTTAGATGAGAAACTCGAACAATATATTACAAAAACTTCTCCATGAAATAAAAGATCGTCCTTGGAGGAACGATGTGCCGGACGTAATAGAATTTCCTCCTTGAATAATTAATTTCTTACAAAATTGAACTTTCAACTTGTATATATACATCAAAATATGCTTAGTTTTCAAAATGTTTGCCGCTAAAAAATCTTAAAAAGTTTTCCCCAGATCCTCAAAATCTCTTTAGTCCTTTTAATTCAAAACTATGAAAATAAATAAAACACAAAGCAAAAAAAACCGACTTGGAACCTTTTTTTCCGAGGTGATGTTTAATATATTTTATTATACTCAATGCTGATGTTATGTGGTGAAAGTTTTCAAACATTTTATTAAAACAACATTGATGAAATAGATTTTAGTTGTTGACAAACTTCAGATCATTTTTCAGTTCTTCATAACAAATGAGTAGTCGAGGATAGTTTACAATACATTCAAATTTACTGGTTGAATTCTTTTGAGTTAAATTATGCATGAAAAAAAAAGAAATTTTCCAGTCATTACAACTGGAAATATTTATGGAAAAAACGTCATCCTATTTTATAATATGACGTAAATTTCTCTTAAGTGATACATTATCATAAATTGAAATTTACATCATTTATAGAACTTTGTGTTTTATATTTACTATAAAAATTTACGAGAAATTGAATAACTCATTCATGAGTGATACAGTAGATAATTATCAAATTATCATACTACAAAATGAGCAATATGACCTTGTTCTACCGGAAATCCTGTTTCTTTTTTGCTCTGAAACAAAGCTGATAGGAGAGAGAGAGAGAGTCTTTTCTCACTATGTAATTTATTATCAAAAGAATTCTTTCTCTTTTCATATCATTCATATTTCGACAGCTATCTCACAGCGAGAACTACTTAAACAAAGAAAAAAAAAATTAGCTTTATTTAATATAAACTTTCGAATATAATTAAGCATTTATTACCTGTATCAATCAAATAAACAGAATACCATAACGACTGGCTCAGATAAAACTGACCACTTTTATTTTCTGTCTTGAAAGTATTTTAACGTAACGTTAAAAACTAACGATCTCTCTTGTTCATGAAAAATTCAGACAATTAAAAGCGCTATTCAAACGTCCAACTGTGAACTCATAGCTTTTTGCAGACATGGATGAATTTCTGTAACTTTATACTTATCAAGTCTAATGTCAAAAGTAAAATAATTTTCATATTTCACGCTATGCTCCTATGACCTTGTCAAATGTTCTTATGCCTTATCCTTCACAAGAAAAAGTGTTAGGACTAACACATACCAGTTCGTTCTCATTCGTCGTCGAATGTAGAAATTAATTCTGAACAAATGAATATGACTTTTAATTTGAACAGTGAAAACTATTATATGATTCGTAGATAAAAAAATGATAACAGTTGGGCAGAAAAAAAATTTCTCAAAAAAATTGCTTCTAATATTTTGAAATGCATATCAAGAGATAAAATTTCAGTGGAACTATTATTTAAATTTGTCATTAATTTTTTTGTTTGTTATTTTTCGCAGTTGGATGATTGAGCAGTGCTTAATTTTTTTTTTAATTTTGCTCGAACAAGATAAATTCATGTGAAAAATAAAGTCGTCTGTTTTGTAGAGAAATAAATTCTTCATCGAATAAGTTCATAGACAGATTTAGACGTTACTTTAAAATGCTTTGAAGACAGAAAACAAAAGTGGCCAGTTTTATTTGAGCCGCCCATTATGTATAAGTCGATTGCAAATTTTTGGTACGATTAGCATGAAAAACTGAAAGTAGGCCTAAACAATTTCTGAGTAGTATAATGTTAAGCAGCAAAATTTTTCCAACATTTCATTGAATATTAAGAGAAATATATGTTGTACAACTTAATTCATTCTAAAATTGGCTTTAGTCCTTGAAAAGATTCAAATCATTTTTCAGTTCTGTATGGCAGACAGGAAGTGAGAAAAAAGACTACAATACACTCGAATTTGCTTGTCATATTCTGTTCTTTGAAATTGTACTCGAAAAGAATATTTTCGAATGGATTCGACTGGAAATATCTGCTGAAAAATTGTCCTTCGATAAAATGAGTATAGTGGCCTTGTCTCACCAAGTCCTATCATTTTTTTTTGTCTGAAACAAGGCTAATAAGGAAGAACTTTTTCTTATCAGTTTGTTACTGAAAGGATTCCCTTTTCATATAATCTGTATATCACCAGCTCTATCATAGACAGAGCTGGAATCAAGTTTGTGCCACTCCACACAAAAACGGAGAAGAAATTAAATTTGTATCAGTTATATGTATATTTTAATTGAGTGTCGGATGCTATACAAAGTAGACTAACTCCATCGTTTTGCTCTTGCTTTTTATAGTCGAAAAATTTCCTTTTGTTTGCATATGTCAACAAAAAATATGAAGTTTTTTTTTTTTGTAATGTGTCTATCATAATTCAGCAACAGTAAGAGCTGAAATTTTTTATGATAATGAGACGTTCAAAGGAGGAATAACATATAAAAAGAACTTGTCCAAATCGGTCGAAAGAGAGAGAGAGAGAAGTGATAAATCTTAATCGCACTGAACAGTTGCAATTTTTCATTGCTAACTATCTCCATCTATTTTCCTTGATATCGTTTGAACATATTATTTTAAAATGAAATGATTCATGTTTAGATATTTGTTCGATTCGACGAATAAAATTCATTGATTATCTGCTATACTTATATAATTAGAAAGAAAAAAAAAGTCTTACCTCTTTTTGTAATAGATACAGCTATGAAAAGCCTGCTAGATAGAAATATTTTTATGTCTTGAACACATTGCAGCATAATTAGAGAAAAATAATAAATTCATTAAATATGAAATCTTTGCTGGAACGATTTTATCGTCATCGAAAAATAAACAAAATATCTATCCATGAATATCATTGTTGACTTCAAATTTGATGTAGTTATGGATTAAGATAGTATACTCATTATAATTGAAAAAGGATTGTTTTTCAAAGATTTCTTTTTCGTTTTCATACGATTATTTTAGTTTAATGCTTATTGCTGTTCCAGTTTTAGATTATGTAACTAAAACTTATCAATATGTTATACATATTGTTATAATCATTGAAATGTTTTTATCTATGATATATAATTGATTGTAATTAAAACTAATTCAAGTGACGAAAGAATCGAATTAGTACAATATATTGCTTTATGAAAAAGCAAACTAGCGATAATTCATGTCTATTTAAATTGTCAACGTCTAGAAATATAATCTGAGAATTTTAGGTTATTATACTATTTCATTATTGAATTATTACAAAAGATCGGAGAATAGAGAAAATTATTGAATTTCTTTTTTCTTCTAACTAACAGTAGAATATTTTCAAAAGAAAGATACTTTTATTTACTAGGCTTTTTTCCAGCTCTATTTACTACAA